AGCTCTCAAAAAAAAGAAAAAAATTTTGAGAAATACCGGAATTTTTAAAATCTATGTCACCTTTTCGAATTATAATCTTTCCAAAACTGTGATGGAAATTTTAAAAATTTGAAGAAAAGATGAAAATTAGAAATATTTTCTTACGAACCACTTGCTGAACAAAAACGAATTTGTATAAATTAGCAATATTTTTACTGAATTTTGCTTTCTCTCAATTAGTACTGTTAGTCTTAATCTTTTTCACCGTTAAAAGTGAGGTATCATATTATCATATTTTGTCATTTTTGCATCGTGTTCACATTCTAAATGATGTATTAAATGATAAATGATAAATGATATATATGCATTAAGAAACTTCTATGGGCTTCACGAGAAGGCCAAAAGGATTTTAAATCATCTTAAAAACGATTCATAGGTAGTACAGGAAAAGTACGCAAAAATGACTTATAAGTACCATAAAGAAGAAAATAAAGCTGGTTTTTTTTATGTTGAATTATGCCATTTGAAACATTAGCGCATCATTAATTAATCGTCAGTTTAATTGTCGGTGATTTTAAGAAATTTTTTTTTCCAAATTCCAAAAATTTTTTCGTATTTAATTAATTAATCATTAATTCAAATCTATAAAAATAAAAATTCATTAAAATTAATAAATTAATTAAACCACTATAGGCAATTATTCTTCTGGCAAACATTAGCATGAAATCACCAATTTTTAAACGCCGAAATGTTTTTTCTTCTTATTTTGAATTTTTTTGAAAAATTTTTGGAACTTAGAAGCAATTAATTATTACGTTAATTTTGCCGTTGAAAAAAAAAATTCGAAATATAAGGAAAGGTGTAATTGCAGCTCGCATCATATCAAGGCACGAATAGTTATATTTTATTGACACCTCGTGAACTACAAAAACTTCACGAACTCTCTTCCAGTGGTTAGTGAATTTAATTGAATTAGATTAAATAAATTTAAAATATTTCCGAATATGAAATTTTATTGCAAATAAATTTTATTTATAAAAGTTTATTTAATTTTGAAAATTATAGAGATTTTTTGGTTGTTAAAATTAAAATTTAAAAAAAAATTAAAATTTTAAAATATTTTAAAATTTAAATTTTATGTTGGAATTAAAATTAAGATTAAAAATAAAATTAAAATTTAAAATTAAAATTTAAAGTTTAAAACATTTTTTATTTCAATTTTGTTTTTATAATTTTTTATAATTTTTAATTTTATAATTTTTGCCCATAAGACGAAAGTTTTAAAAATAGAATAGTAGAAATAATTTTCTACTTTTGAATTTTCAATTTTATACAATATTAATATATCACTTAAAATTCCGAGAGAATTTATTGAGTTTGTCGAAAAATAGTTAAAATTCGATGAAATTTTGTCAAGCACTTTTTTCAATTTTTAATATTATTAATAATAACAACAATAATGATAATAATGATAATGATAGTAACGATAATAATAATGATAATAATGATGAAATAATTATGAATGACGTCTAAAATTATAAATTATAAATTAATTATATTATAAATAATTATAAATAATTATATTATATTATAATTATAAATTAAATGATAAATTAATTAAAATTATAAATTTCATCGAAACTTCATTTTTTTGTTCACCCCTGAAATTTATTTCCAGCTTCTATTCCTGTTTCATATTTTCAATTTCATAGTTTTTCCTATTCTCTCTTCGTTTTTTTCAGGAAATAAATTTCGAAAACAAATTTCAAGCCATTTGAATCAAATGCTTTTTTTTTCAAATAATTTTTTCGAAAATAAAATTTTTTAATTCAAAAATTTCTTATTTTTTTGAAATATGACTGGAAACATGTCTAAGGAGATTTGATCTGTCGTTTTTGTGGTTATGTATTTTCTTTTTTTTTTTCTTGATCTAAGAACGATTCATCTATTTTTTAATTTTGTCTTATGGTGCTATTCATCTTTATCCTAAAGGTTTTCAAGATTTTTAAAATAATATTTTCCAAATTTCTTCCTTTTTTTGAATACTAATTTTATCACGCCGAAATCATTTATCACTGATAAGTGAAGATAAATAAATAAATAAATCATAATAAGAATATTTTATGTTTACGACGAAATTTTTCGTTAAAAATCTTGTTCATAAATAATACAATTCATCAAAAAATTTTATAAATGCACCGAAACAAGCTTCCATAAATGTTTTTTGAATAACATCGTTTGGGATTTAATCGAGTTGTTTGCATTTCTTTAGGCTTTTTTTTTTTTAATTCTTAAATTTCACAAATTAAGAAAATAGAAAATCTGAATGGGCAATAACTGGTCAAATTGAGAAAATTTTTACTGTATAAGTGATGCTCATTCATATCATTTTGTCATTGGTATATACCGATTTGTTTTTTCTATAAGCATTTTTATCATTTCTGATTAAATTCGCTTCGCTGCCTTGGTAGACCAAATAAATATTGGAGAATGAATTACAAATGAGCAACTAGAATAACTCAGATTTTTGAAAGGCAGTTTTATTCTTACCTAGAATCTCAGTAAATTGGTGCTTCGAAATAAGAACAACAGCCTACTCAGCTATTATATGCTAATATGAACACTTTGAATTACTGGAAGCTCAGTTGAAATTTTTTTTTTTTAAAATTATTCACAAATAACTCTTAGTTTATTCAGAAAATATTTAAAAAGTTTACAAAATATAGAATAATAAAAATAACAAAAAACTCTTGTGAACGGCCATGATCATCCTCAACCTTGAATCCTTTACCAGAGAACTAGGAGACTGAGAGTTCTGTACAATATCTTAGTTGTTCCTAATAGTGCGTTCTTCTGGATACAGATATTGTCTCTGATATTACTCGTGGAATCTGCTGAAGATAATTTTTCTAGGGTTTACAGTTGCAAGTGATCCAGCTATCACTGGAATTACTTTGGTCTTTATTTTTCACATTTCTCTAGTTCTTCTTTCCGACTTTCTCTAACTTCTCATATTATTTCTTCTTGATGATAGTGTCATTTAGTATTTCTATCATCAGTGCCATCAGTGCTGATTTCTGAGCCTTGTCTATTACTATGATATCTGGCTGATTGGTGAGAACTTATTTGTCTATCTGGGTGAGAAAGTTCCACTGGATCTTCGCCTCATTTTCTGCAATTTTCTAAGGAATCTTCCGTTTAGTCTTGGAGAGGATTTATTAATAATATGCAACAATAATATAATGAAATATTATAGTATAATAGTAACAATAATATATACATTTTTATTAATTAATACAGTATATATTGTTTAATAATGCTCTATTCACATTTCGATATTTAACAGATTTTAAAGCTTATTTACAAGTTATCATAAATTGCCTGCGGCAAATATTTTTAATTTCAGGTCTTTTATTAGGCGATGATACAATGGGAATACAATATTTATTAGCAAATTATGGTATTCCAATTTCGGCCGAGATTGAACGCGCTGAAGCGTGGACGGTATGTTTTCTTAAGAAAAATTTTTAAATCAAAAATTTTTGCTGATTTTCATCAAATAATTTCTTTCAATCATTTGACTATCATGAAAGGAAGTTTTTTCTTTTTTTATCAATAAATTTGCAAATTTTTAAATTATGAATAAAAAAAATAAAATTTTAAAAATAAAAACATTTATAACTATTGAAAATTTTTCTTAGTTTAAAAAATTTGAAAAAAAATTCATAGCATTAAGAAATTTTTGAAAAATTTTCAACTATTCGTCGTATGAAACTATATTTTTTATATTTTTCATTTATTTTTATTTATTGTTTTTTGGTCTAAAATGATATTGCTTTTTATTAATTAAAGGCAATAAAAATTCTTTTCTCGATTCTTATTTTTTAACAAAAATTATATTCTCTTTTAAAAACTTGAACTGCTGTACAAAAATTTTTTCAAAATCTCCTTGTCTAATGAAAAATTAAAAATGAAAAAAACCAGTTTTTATTTATTTTTAGGATTTAATCGGATTTAAACCGCTATTATTTATCTGTTTTAAAAACATTCTTAGGCATTGTATAATCATTTAGTAAACTTCTTTTCACGGTTTCTAAAACTGGTTGAACTCGTTGAAGAAAACTCGTTTTCAACTGGTTTAACCTCTCTATATCTTTTTTAAATCGACCATATAATAAATAAATATATATATATATATATAAAATATTATAAATATTCATTTAGCAATCTTGAGTATTTTATTCAACAATCATTTCGCTTTGACTGCGTTTTCAAAGATGGCAATGGTACTAATTTGAGGAAAAATATGGGGAAAATTTAATCTATATTTAATTAATGAAGAGATTAATCGGGTAGAAAGTTTTGTGATATTTATTATGTGATATTTATTGCCAAGTCTCCATCATATTATTCCATCAGTTTATTAAGCACTTGCTAATTTTCCCATTTGATTTCTTTCAACCAGGTTGAGCATCAAAATCATGCTAGCAAAATATTTTGCATAGTTAAAGCTTTTGTAATGCGAGATATTTTTCATTTTTTTCCTTAACGGTACTTTCATATGAAAGTTAATTTTAATATTATTGCTATAATTTGAAAATATTCGCAAAAATTAATTCCCACCTCTTATGGAACTATTAGGAGCCGTCTAATACGCAGATAGTCAAAAGGGGGGGGGGGCTAATTTTTGCATTTTATAATCTAAAATATTTTAAAAAAATATTTATCTTATTTATTTTCTGAAGTGGCTAAGGCAGGCGATTACTATAGAGTTAATTAATATAGCAATAAAAGCTACCCAGATCGCAGCTTTATCCAACCTTCTCTACCTTTCCCGTGGGCGCACTTTCAGCAAGACTCTCCGAAAACTTATTTGCCTTGCCTTAATCTTTGGTACACATGGTTGAGTGTTACGCAAACCTTTAAGCTATTAATTTATTTTAAAAAACTATTTCAAATTGTATTTTGAATAATTTTATATGAAATAATTATAGAAGTAAATTTGCATTTTTTTTTTTAAGCCCATCTTTGGCTTATTCTTGGCTCTACTTATAATTTTATCAATATTGGTTCTATTACTCGTCTTATTTATGGCTAGATTTTGTTGTTGTTGTGCACGATCAAATAAAGATCAATATATTGTGACACCGATTCCAAAATATAAAACTATGGAACCACTTTTTATATCTACACCAGCACTTACAGAGCCATTTTATGGAGCTCATTTCGATGCGATATATAGTACACCTTATTCAGGTTTGTTGTATATATTTACAAACTTTTAGCTAGAGGATTAGATATAATAGGAATGACTGCAATGATTGGCTTTATTTTCAGGCACACCTCTTCCGCCACCACATTTCCCTAGATTAGAAATTCATCCTGCACGAAGCGCTAGTATTTCTCAAACAGCTACGCCAGTTTCAACTCATAGACATCGAATTCGACCATTTCCACATACGCAAATCACGCGTAGCTTCTCACCTAGTGAAACACCATTACCGAGTAGTAGGCAAGAAATTTCGAAAGTTGACGATTCAACGCAAGTAATTTTTATTTTCTCGAATATTTCTGATTCTGACTCGTTTTTAGCGTAATTATCGTTATTTTTCTTGACATATCATTTTTCAACTCTCAAGTACCATATCAGTTTCTTGCTTACCATATTCCATCTCCTCTACTATCTTTTTTTCCTAAGAACATTTATCATTTCTGGTTAAAACCGCTCCAATCGCTTATTCGACTAGGCAACTTTTACGGTGTTGTCACTTGGCGATAAATCACCGCAACCACTCGGATTCAGCCTTTATCTTTTTGCTTTATAGGTGCTTGCTACGATCAATGACTTGACATATTTTAACTAATTTATTTTAACTCAATTATTAAAAAATTTTTTGGGGCTAAAAAAAGTGCAAAAGATGATTAGAAAATGCTGATAAATTAAAAATTGAATTTTTCTTCAGTTTCAACTTCTTTCATTATTGGCTTTTGCCTAAAATAATAATTAAATAGAAAATCATAAAAAATCTTAAAATAATAATAAATAATTTTGCTAGCGAATTTAAATGGTCTCTTCGCAAAATTTTTTTATATTTTTTTAGAACATATGACAAGCTGAAATTTATTATTTTATAAATTACTAAGCATTATTTATTAGAAAGAGTAAAAAAATAAATATACATATAAAAATATAAAACGTAAAATATAAATAGAAAATATGACATTATTATTTTATTTATTTTCTAGACAAATGCTACTTCGATAATTCAGGAAAAAAGTAAGCGATCGGATTCACGATCTGATGAACCGTCCACATCATTGCCTGGTATAAATTTATAAAATTTTAAATTTTTATAAATTTATCTATAAATTTATAAATTTTATTTATAAGTTTTAATTTATAAATTTTTTTCTTTCAAAATATACCTCAATCTTTTTAGAAAGATCGCTCTTTTAGTTGGTGCAAAATTAAGCGACCCTAATTTATAAAATATTAAGTTTATTGGTTTGTTTTGTTTTTTGTGAAATACAACTCGTGAATTCTGCTTTTTTTTAGTGGCTCCTGATGTAGCAAGCCTTCAGCGATCAATTGGTTATGCCGAGTCCGATCTTTCCTTTCTTGATCCACGCAGGAAGCTTGAAGTACAAACACGAACAGATTTTTTCTATTAATCTAATCTAATCCTATAACTGTTATTTGAGACGCGTGATTCGAGAGTTTAATTTTAATTCAGAAGAGAAGCCTGTTTTGTCGATATTCGTTACTGTTATTCTTGTCAAAAATTTTTATCTATTATCAATATATCAGCTGCAGTATACTTATAGAAGCAATCAATTGTATTACAAGAAAAATAAAACAAAAAAAAAAGTCATTATGAATTTTTTAGATAAAAATTCAAGAATAGTTTCGAGTGACCTCGTTCTATTTCCTGAATTTTTTTTTATTATTTTTTTAAAATACATTTAAATGATTTTTTATAATTCTTATATAATATTCTATTTAAAAAAAAAAAATTTTGTATAAATCACTGCCACGAATTAATATGTATTTTTTTTTTTTTTTATGCTTTAGGATAATTTCTTAAAGACAATTTATTTATGGAAATTATTTTCGTGCTCATTTCTGCTCAATTTAATTATATTCTGATCTATAATATATTCGAACCCATTTTTGCCATCTAAAAATCGAACGATCTCTCGGTGAAACAAAAAAAAAAAGAAAAAATTATAAATAAATTAGTTAATTAAAATTGTAGAAGAGATTTAGAAGGAATTTTTGTGTAAATTTAACACAAATATAGTAAAATTGTAAAAAAATTATTTATTAAAAATAGTTGTACAATTGCGGTGAATCGCTAAGAGCAATAGAGCATTTTTTTTTTTTTTTAAATGAGAGAGTTCAATGAAAATTTTTGGTTCATTCTTGGTTTCTTTTTTTTTTTTTAAAAAAAAAGTCTTTCTGGTTCAAATATTGTTTGTATAGCTTGCCGCATTCATTCATTTATTTTTTTTAAATTTTATTTTTATTTTTTTTGGTCATTTGCATAATAATTTTTAAGAATCTCGTTTAAATATTATTGTAAAAATTTTAATCTTATTAAAATATTAAATATTTTAGCTTTTTTTTTTAATTTAAAATTATGAAAATTTAATTAATTAGTAAGAAATTTTATTTTTCAATTCACTTATTTAAATTCTTTATTTTTATTTTCTTATTTTTAATGAAAAATTTTTATTTATGACCAACCGTTTTATGTATGCGGTGAGAATTGATTCTTTTGTTTTAATATATCTTGTGAAAATAAATTTTTTTACAAGACAAATTTATAAATTGTGGTACTAAATTGTGGTCAAAATTTTTTCCAGATGCGAATTATAATTATTCAATAGAAAAGTGAAATTATTTCAATGAGCATTCATAGATGTTTAAAGAAGATTTAAAAAATTTCACTTCTTTCATATTTGGTGAGAAATTTTTACCAGAGAATAGTTTAAGAATAAAATTTTACGTAATTTCCGGGATACAGGCAGGCTTTACGTTTTAAATATTTAAGTACCAGTGATATTAGTGGGACAAAAATCGAATTTATTATCACCTCAGCGATATTCAACTCGAACGTTCCGTACGAGAACGTGAAGTTAGCTCAGCCAAATATTAGTTTCAGATTTACATAACAATGAAAATTATGTATAGGATAATGTGTTAGTAAATGTGTTTGAATGTAAATAGAAAAGCCATGGTAAAAAGGTTACAGTCAAATAATTTTGTATTTTGTATTTTCTGTTTTAAAATTTGTGGGGAGAGCCAAAAATAATTAAGAAAACTGAATGATCGCATGAGCTTTCTCCATTTTTCACTGAGCAACTTTGCTTTATTGTTGTTAACTTTAGTGATAATCCACAATAATTTCTAATGCATATTGATTTGAATACAATAGAATAAAATTTTAAAGTCACCCTATAAATTTCGAGGATTTCGAGGAATTTTCATTTTTTTGAACCGATCGGAACTGATCTGATTAGGCGTATTTCTTTATTATAACCTTAATATGTGAGATTTAGATCCATGAAGATTTGATCAATACAAAATCGCTGGAATTTCTTTATTGACTGTCAGATAAGACTCTTCTGGTTTTCTCAAAATCAGCTACCGAATATATTTTTGGGTTTCTGCTCAAACTTCAGCACTCCACTAATCAGCTAATCCGACTATACTCCAAATAATTACTATTACTCCAAATAATCCGACTATTCTATTCCAGAACCTCCCCGGCATCAAAGTATCACTTTAATTTATGCCTTTTTGTTACAAATCGCCAAAACTTTCGGAAAACCCATAAATTATTTTGTTTTTCACTACTACTTTCACGTAACATCTCAAGGATATAAAATCCCTTTCTTATCCTACCTCCCTACATCATTTATCATTTTATCCTTTCTAAGGTTCCTTTAATAACTTTTCTCCGAGCTTCATTACGGCTGCAATAACACTACACGATCTCCCCCTAAGCTTTCAATGATTTACGCTCTTTCCTTTTTAGGCATGAATCTTACCTCTTAAATTTACATGTCATTCCCCATAATTCTGTCCTTCCACATGATTGTGGATTTTAAAATATATCCAGCCTTACTACATTCTGTTGACATCCTTGAATTTTTAATAAAATCTTATTACGCTTTCTTTAAACTTTCTGATATTTTTCTGATATATGTTAGTAATAATTTTGCAAAAAAGTCCCCATCCACTATTTTAATTTAAGGCAACGTTACAATCCTATGATATCTTCTTTGGAAGTTGTTGTAAACTCTTTACTTTATAAAATACTTCGAAGCTGCTTCTAGTTGTGTTCCATTCTTTGACCGAAGTCCAATAACAATATATCTTTGAATATCCCCTATAAGTGAATAAAAGGAGAGCGCTTTTAATTAGGCGTGCTCTACTAGCTTGTCGAACTAAATAGAGATAAATAGAGTTGAAGAAGTCATATAGGAGTAGAATGGCAGCACCATGATTTTTGATTTACTCCAGGCTGCACCGCCAGCATTCTGAAATCAAAATAACCAATTAACATAACGTTTCTGCCTTCTGAATACCCATATAGCCAAACTGTGTAGAAATTTTTATGTTAATTCGGTCGCACTTACTCCAGGTTGCATTGCCAGTCACCATCTTTTATAGCTCACTAACATAGTAATGGTGAAAATTCTACCTATAGTGCTGAAACCTTTCAATATTCCATAATATCTGGTGAAAAAAAATCTTATGAAAAGCATTCCCAAACTTCCTCCTAGAACCCCGTAAGCACTTTTTTCTTTAATCTATTGGCATCATCCTGAGCCCTTTTCTAATGTTTTAATTACGCAAGCCCAGTTTAAGACCACCCATCTTTATTTTTTTGCCTCATCTGCCATTAACCTTCACATTGCTCATTTTCCATAGTCGCTTTTTTTTGATTTTTCCCAATTTGCAGTTACAATTTGGAAATTTGTAAGCAGAGGGTGGGCTTGTCAAAAGAGTTTAACAAAGATATGAGGATGTAGCGGAAGAATTATAAGAATTTGGCGGGTATCAAAGAAATGCATTCGAAAAGGTACTAAGGAAATATTTTTGCTGAAATATCGAGGAATAATATTTCAAAATTTAACAAAATTTAAAGTCAATTTTGTCCATCCGTCGAACCAGTGGATCGGTCGATCTTCTCACTAATATCCCATATAAATATCCCATAATTTATAAAGTCGTAAAAAAATAGAAATGTACAGAAATCTTATTGCAAAGTACTCTTGAAAGTATCGAAAATAATTCCGAAACGAAAAAAAGTTGGTGAATATGGTTGTTGTTGTCACTATGGTTGTGACCGAACGATGTGTCGTCTTAACAAATTCTTTACTAAGGATATTGCGTAATCAACGATCGTTTTGAGAGGACCAGATGCTACCAAGATTGCCTTCTTGACCCATGTATTTCTACTAGACATCTACTTGAAATCAGTAGTGATATTCAAGAAAATATGGTCATCTCTCTTTTATTATTTTGCTTCAATTATTATTTATTTACTGGTATATAAATCACCATTAAATCTTTTTTTAATTTTAATGCATTTTAAGGTTTCTTTCTTTTCGGTTATCGTTGCCTTAAATAATATTAAAGAGTATTAAATGACAATCATTTATTAGATAATTGATTTGATAGGAGTTCACTTTTGAAAATTGCAGTTCTTTTAAGTAAATTTTCGATAGGTGATTTGATAATGATCCAGAGTCTTAAAGAAATTTCTTCGATTCAGTACCATTTCTTTAATATGATATGATATGATAATATAAAGAGAAATATCTTTATAAATATCTTTTTAAAAAATATAGTTTATTCGATATTTATCACAACTGACAGATACTTGACTGTTCTATTAAATAATATCTTCCCATCTTTGATAAAAAAAAAGGCGATCTATCATTGATCAAAATTAATCATCTAAATGACAATCAAAATGCGATTCATATTCATTTATAGATTTTTTCAGAAATTTTCATTCCAAAAAAATATTCGGAAGAAACATTTTTTTATATTAGTTCTTTTCTCAAGGAACTATTTAACTATTTAAAAAATAAAAAATTTTTTCAAATTTTATGAAATTTTTTAGAATTTTTAGAGTGAAAGAAATATTATTCAAAAGAACTTGGTTTAGATATGAAACTTATTATTGGTTTAGGAGCTTTTTCCAGAAGCGAAAAATTTTTTCCGGATAGAAAAGCCAAATGCAAGGCCAAAAAAATTGAAGCAAATAAATAGCAATAAATATGTAATCCCTTCAATGAATTTTTTTTTCCTAATTGAAATAATTCATAGAATATGTTCAATTATGGATGGAAAAATCGGCTTTTTTAACAGCTTGGTGCGACAAGGCCATCGACTTCAATCTTATTATAGTTTGCCTTTGATATTGCATCCAATGTTGAGGACAATACTCGGTAGGGTGTCGCAATCTGTCGCATAAGGATATGTCAATGATATAACAAGCGAAAATTTCAAAGGTTACCGATAACTCTATAATGGATTAAAAAATCACAAGCACAATATGACTAATAGTCCTTGATGGGATTAAGTTGTGCACCGCGATTCTTCAATCCATAGATTTAAATAATAGGCAAGAAAAGCCTTCTCTGCATTACTA